GTGTGTGTGTGTGTGTGTGTGTGTGTGTGTGTGTGTGTGTGTGTGTGTGTGTATGTAGTGGGGGGAGAAGACACTATGAAAAGAAATGTAGGGGTATCAGTGGAAGGCCAAATTGGAGTTTGGTTGCCCTTTTCCTCTTGTTCTCCTTCAGGCCCTGGAATCTTGCATGGGTCGGCCATTTGAAGGGACAGTGCAGAGGTTTCTGGCCGTGGTGCTTCCAGCCTGTGGAGACCTCAGCTTTCAGCAGGATCAGATGATCCAAACCTTTGGCTTTAGGGACTGTGAGATCACGTGAGACTTGGGGCAACATAAACCTAGACAACTGTCAACTACATCTATGGTCCTAGTCTAATCTTTCCCTTACTCTTTTTAACTCTGTCTCAACAACATTTTTTGCCTGGCAGTGATGCTTTCTCCCCCATCCTTGCTAATGGAATCATCTGGACTATCTGGGAGGGTTGAGAGATGTATATGTCTCATGAGAGTATAGGATTTCTACAAGTTGAATTTCATCACTTAAAAAAACCCCAAAGAAACATCAAGTTTTTGTAACAGTGACCCACTCTTATCCCTACCCTTATATTACCATACTGATGCTGGAACAGTACAAGGTTGGTTTTCCTTTTTTCCTTACAACATAATGGAGGAGATCAGCTTTTGTTCTTCTTGAAAGAGGAGTTAAATAGTCAATGAAAAGGTGTGCTGTTCATATCACCCCATGAAACTGATGGTTTTTTTTTATTTCTCCCCCTGCAAAGGGACCCAGGCAGCTGCCATTCTCTCCTTCCTTCAGGTAGGAATTAAGGGGCAGTGGAGGATGATTCCTAGAGGTCACATTGTCCCTTCCCTTCTCTTCCACCCTAGGCAGCTGGTAAATGCTGGAGTCCTCACAGTTCGAGATGCTGGGAGCTGGTGGCTGTCAGTGCCAGGAGCTGGGAGATTTGTAAAATATTTTGTTAAAGGTTCTGATTTCTCATTCCGTTCTCTAATTATTCCAAAAGCATAAATCAGAGTTATCCCTCCCTACTCCTGCCCCAACCAAGGATACTTAGGAGAGGGACCATCCCCCAGGACTAAGGCCCAGTGATCACATCCATTGTCTTGTCTCATCTGCTCTGATCTCTTCCTTCTAGGGCGACAGGCAGTACTTGGGATGGTTCGAAAGTCCAAGTATCGGGAGCTGTCCCTTTCTGAGCTCTTAGGCAGACGAGCTCCTCTGTCTGTGAGGCTTGGCCTTCCCTATCATGTACATGATTTAATTGGAGGGCAGCTGCTTGACATGTAAGTATATAGCTTTACCTGTTCCTTTTCTTCCCTATTGTCAAGTGTTTCAACTAAATCATCTAAGACTAGAGCTTTTCCTCATCATGATGATCTGTAGGCATTGCTCTTTGATTGACTATCCCAGTTTTCTATAAACATGGAGACCCTTATATCTAGACCCTAGTTTTTCCTGTCTACCTTTCCCCTCACCCCTCCCACCCCCAGCTAGGTGGCATAATGGATAGAGCTGTGAGCTCTGGATTCAGGAAGACCTAAGTTCAAATCCTGTTTTGGACACTTACTAGCTGTTTGACCATGGGCAAGTCATTTAACCTCTATGTTCTTCGGTTTCCTCAACTGTAAAATGGGATAATAATAGCATGCATATTACAGGATGTTTTAAGGATGAAATGAGATAATATTTGTAAAGTGCTTAGTATAGTGCTGTTTACATAGTAGACACTATATAAATGCTTATTTTCTTTCCCCTTCCCCCTACAGTGTCCCCACCGCATCTGGGACTCTCCTTCGCCTGCCTGAGACATGAAGATTCGAGTTCTCTTTTCCCAATTCATCTGTTGGACTGGGGAATGAAGTAAAGTGTAGATATAACTTGCAGCCCACAAGACGTCTTGACTTAACACAAATGAAAGTGGCATCTACGGAGGGGTTACCCCTTGAAGTGTCTGAAGTTGAGACTACTGTTTGGTTTTCTAGGTGGATGGGACAGATGTGATCACTGCTGTGTACAGGTTTGGGGTTTGGACCGTGACTGCCCTTCCTTTGCCAAGGACAAAGATCGGAAACTATGTCAATGTTTTGCTTATTATCGCCTTTCACTAGGCATAATGTCATTTTGTTCTGGGGTTCTCTGTCCTTTTTTTTTTTTTGGTTGAAATTGCGAAATAAACAATATCTTTCTGTGATGTTTTCTTTAAGGCCTCATTTAAATGCAACATGTCTCTTTGGCGCTCAGTTGTAGGGATGGGTAAGGATAACTCTAGGTCTGGATGTCTCCCTCCATAACAGAATTCATATGGGACAAAGGTAAACAACGAAAAGGGTCTCCAGTAACAGTATGGGTATTACTGTGATTTCAGTGAAAACCTACTCAAGCCTTAGAATCTGTGGTCAGTCTTATACAAAATAACGTCCAAGTGTCACTAGGGTTATATGGGAATGAAGGTTGTGGAGAGGAGACTCTCTGCATACCCTTACTTCACCTGTATAAATATCAGGATTGGGGAGACAACCACACTTAAGAGAGACCATCCTGTTTCAGAAAGACCTATGTTAAAGGGATCCAAGATTTCCTCACAGGGGCCTAGGTTTCCAGTACTTTCAGTACTGGGCTTTGGGCCAGTTGCATTTCTTGATTGTCACGTGTTTTCCCAGCTAAACCAGAGCAGGGGTGGAGCAAAGTCCAAAGTTACCTCTCCTAGACCCCAGGATAGCCAGAAGGGAGTAAATGGACAGCTGGGATTGACCATCCCTGCAGTCCTCTCAACCATGAAGCTCTTATGGATGCTGCTTTGGGTTTCAAGCCTCTTCACTTTGACTGTACAGGAAGCCAGGTCTTGGGAAAAACTATCTGTGTCCCTGAGGGTTATGGAGACTGGGGATGGGAGACCTAACAGCTATGGAACAGAAACACCTGCATGTCTTGGGAAGTGGGGTCTTGGTTGAAGGCTAGGGGGATGGGTCAGTGGCTTGGGTGAGGGAAGAAGGGAGCTCTATACCTGTAAGTCCTAACCCCCACTTTCCCTTAGGCTGCTGATCTTTTCACCCTCTGTGGTTCGCTTGGGTGTACCACTTTCGGTGGGACTGCAACTCCAGGGAGCTTCGAAGGGGCAGAAAGTCAAGGGTGTTATCTTCCTGAGAAATCCATCAGGGCCCTCAGTGCATTGCTCTGAGGATGTGCCCTTTACCCTGGACTCTGACCATGACTATCAGCTACTTAGCCTCCCGGTAATTGTACCTCCAACTCCCTACCCCCATCAGCCTACCCCTAGTTGTTCCTACTGTCTTTTTGTGCCTGCCATCTAGTTGCTGTCTCCACTCTGTTTTTGTTTACATGTCATTTACCTCCTTGCCTCTGATTCTGAACCTACATCTGTTTTTCTGGTCTTGGTCCCTCCCCTGGTCTTTGTGCATCTCATTCTTACTTGATCTTTCCATATCTCTTTCTCTCTCTGGCTCTTCACTCTCTGCCTCTGACACTATCCCCATCTGCCCTCAGGTCCCACTGGTCCATGTACAGCGCTGTGGTCTCAGTAAGCTTCATTTTTCCCGTCATGTGCAACTTCTGGCCAAAACATCATGGCTGAAATCAACTCTGTCTCGACAAACAGACACTCAGGGTGTTAATCTGTTATTTTCTTCACGTCGGGGTCACCTTTTTCTACAGACGGACCAGCCCATTTACAACCCTGGCCAACGTGGTGAGGAGTCCATAGCTTCAATTCCTTCTTATCCAACAACACAAATTTGTTGCATAGGCATACCATGTACTTTTTTTGTAAAGGGAAAGGATGAGAAAGAGGAAAGAAAAAAATAGAGCTTATGAAATCTCCTCCTTTGGCCCACTGACACCTCTCTATCATTTCCTCTAGTCCGATTCCGAGTCTTTGCTCTGGATCAGAACATGAGACCATCCACGGATACCCTGACTATTACTGTTCAGGTGAGTCCCTGGCCTCACCAGCTGTGACCCCTGATTCCTAACCTTCTGCCTCTAGGTTTGTTCACTGAGTCCCTCTTCTCCTAGAACTCTCATGGCCTTCAAGTACGGAAGAATGAGGTGTTTTCTAAAAGATCCATTTTCCAAGATGATTTTGTGATCCCTGACATCTCAGAGTGAGCTCTTTCTTGAATCCATCCCACTCTGGAATACCCTTGTGTATCTCCCTTAAATACCTTCTCACTTTCTACCCCTTTTCCCAGTCACCTCACTCCAGACCCCAGGGATTCTGCCTGCTGCATAGTCCACTCTTACCTTTACAGCCTCCCAGATTGTTTCCCAAATTCCCCCATCGTATATAAGAACAACACTCTTTTTCCACTACGCTCTTCTCTACCCGCTTAGGCTGAGCCACCTCTATATTTCTTCTCAGGCCTGGAACATGGAGGATCTCAGCTCGATTTTCTGACAGCTTAGATTCCAACAGCAGTACTGAGTTTGAGGTGAAGAAATACGGTAAGAGCTGGAGACTAGGGAGATAGTGTCCTAAGGAGAGAAAAGGTTGGGGTTGGATACTGGATCCCAAAGAGAAGGGATGTTTTCATTACTGTTTGACATCTCTTCTCCTCTACTCTCACTTAGTTCTCCCCAACTTTGAGGTGAAGATCATACCTGAAGAGCCCTATGTGCTGGTAGCTCCTGGTGTTGATGTGAATATCCGATTGAATGTCCAGGCCAAGTAATCCTTTCCCTTATTTCTATCTCTGCGTACTGTTCCCAATAACCTTTGTATCTCTCCTCATATCCTCTTCACCCTTCCTTAGGACTCTTCCTTTTGCCCTATTTCCCCCTACCCCCACTGTGGCCTCTTCTGCCGGGGTTCCTTCCAAATATCCCTTGTCTCTAGGTATGTATATGGGAAGTCAGTGCAGGGAGTAGCTTATATTCGATTTGGAGTCTTGGATGAGAGTGGTGAGAAGAAATTCCTTCGAGGGCTGGAAAAACAGTCCAAGGTAGGGCTTAGAGGTCATGGAAGGGAGGGTGATGGAGTAATAGGTGGGATTTTCACCACAGTTGTATGTTCTATCTTTTGTTCTCTCCTCCTCAGTTGTCAGATGGCCGCTGTGGCATTACCGTCTCAGGAACAGAGATCCAGAAGTCATTGAACATCCCTGGGATGGACAATCTTCAGGGGCTTCGCTTCTATGTAGCAGCTGCTGTCATTGAATCCCCTGGTGGGTGACCCTAGACCTCTGACTCTTTACCTCTCCACTCTGATCACTGCTTTGGACATCCACCCATAGTCTCCTTTCCTCCCCCCAACCTTCCCCTCTGAGCACCTACACAGGTACCGAGATGGAGGTCACAGACTTCCTTCTAGAGAGGGAAGCCTGAGGAGACAATGATCCCTATGTCTTTCTGTCTCCATCGCTTTCCCCTATTGCTTTGTCTCTGCTTTTTTGTCCCCGACTTCTTATATCTATCTATTTCCATGGACCCAGGGGGAGAGCTAGAGGAAGCTGAACTTACCTCCTTACGCTTTGTCTCATCTCCATTTTTGGTGGACCTCAGCAGCACCCAGCGGTATTTTGTACCAGGAACGCCTTTCCTGCTACAGGTCATTCCTGGGGCTGTTAAAAAAGAGGATAGGGAGGGAGAGTACAAGAGAGATTGGGAGAGGCAGTACAGATAAAGGGAATGGCACAGCGTTTTTTCTCTATTTCTTCTTCTCTGACTTCTCTTTTACTCATCCTCAGGCCTTGGTTCAGGATGTCTCTGGCTCTTCAGCCCCTGGGATCCCCATCAAAATTTCCACCAAATTTATCACCTCAGGAGTTGGTTCTAATATCCAGGTTCTTAACTTCAACACAAATGAGAAGGGTCAGCTCAGCACCCTCATCAATGTCCCCCAAGCCACCCAAGAGTTGCAGTTTACGGTGAGATGGGAACCAGACACCCTAGGAAAAAAGTGGGGACAGGAGAAGGGGGAGCCAAGAGCTGGGTGCTTGTGTCACTCAGGAACAAGGCAGAGATCTGGGAGTTGAAAGACCAGATTGCTAAGTCCTTCTGACCTTTCCCTTTATTGCCTCCTCCTAGGTATCTGCAGGATCCCCCTTCCCAGCAGAGGCCACCCTTACTGCCCATTCTCCACCTTCTGGAGGCTCTGGGCTCTTGTCCATGGAGCGACTGGATTCCAGGCCTCCCCATGTGGGACAGACATTCACTCTAAACCTCCGTGCTGTGGGAGTTGATGGAGCTACTTTCTCCCATTACTACTACATGGTGAGGATAGGCCAGTAAACGCAGTATTGTTGGAGCAAAGATCAGGGCAGAGGTGGACAGTCCTTCCCTGGAGGTGGAGACAGAGTGAGGAAAACAGGAGGTTAAAGAGGAAGCTCCTTTCAGATCCTTCTGTCTTGCCAACCACTATGGCACCCCCAGGTCCTGTCGCGTGGGGAGATCATATCCATGCATCGAGTGGCAAAGGGGTCTGTGACCTCCATCTCGGTACCTGTGACCGCCCAGCTCGTGCCTTCTTTCCGCCTCGTCGCCTTCTATTACCACAATGGTCTGCCAGTCGCCAACTCTTTGAAAGTGGATGTCCAGGCGGGGGATTGTGAGGGGAAGGTAACCGGGGGAGGGGAGGAAAGATGAAGGAGAAAAGATGTGATGAGACAGAGGTGGAGAGAGGGAGGGAGGGAAGAGGAGTGGACTCAAGTTCAAAGAAAACTCCGAAGATGTGAAAAATAGGAAGTAACTTCTTCCTCCCAATAATGTTGCCCTGCTTTTTTTTTTTTTTTTCTTTTCTATCCCTAGCTGGAACTGAAAGTGGATGGGGCAGAACTTCGACCTGGGAACCAGCTGAGGTTAAATTTATACACAGATTCCTTGGCCACTGTAGCCCTGGGGGCTGTGGATACTGCGGTGTATGCAGCAGGTGGCCAGAGGCACAGCCCTCTCCATATGAATAAGGTCCCCAGAGGCTCCACTTCCTCTTCCTTTTGCTATTTTCCCCCAACTCCTTGGCCACTCTGTCCCTCCCTCCAGCTTCCCCAAACTTCTCTCCTTTCAGGAGTCCTATTTCAATTCCCTTGCAGACTTCACCCTTTCCCGTAGCCCTATCCCCCCATACTCAATGCCCTTTCTCTCACAGCAATCCTCCTCTTTCTGCTCCCCCTATCCCCCCTCTCACCAAATCCTCTACTTCTCCCTTTCCCTCAGTCTGTTCACTCTTTTCCCTATTGTCTACTCTTCAGTGCCCATCTCCCAAAGCAGCTCTTGCATTTCTTCACTTCAGGTCTTCACTGCCATGAACAGCTATGACCTGGGCTGTGGCCCTGGGGGCGGGATCAGTGCTCTCCAGGTTTTTGAGTCGGCTGGTTTGATGTTTTCCGATGGACACAAATGGACCCAGTCCAGGAGCAGTAAGAACAGAGTTTGGAGGTGGGGGGAGTTAAAGTGAGAGGATGGAGAGAGAATAGGGAGGGAGAATGGAAGGGTTAGGAATAGGAAGGTGAGATAGTGTGAAATAGCAGTGGTCTGGGAGTTAGGAGACCCGCCGTTAACTAGCTGTGTGACTGTGGCTTTCCTTTCCCTGTGCTTCACTTTCCTTATCTGTAAAACTAAACTAGGGATGGATTATCTTTAAGGCCCTATTCAAGGTTTGATACTCTCGGGGCAAGGAGAAAGAATGGGAAGGAGAAAGGGGAGGGGCAGGTAGGGAAAGGATGGAAACAGTTTTCTACGAAGAAAGGAAGGACAGGACATGAGATTTGTGTGACTAGGCCTCCATCCTTTCATCATCTGCTACTGTAGGTCTGAGATGCCCCAAGGAGAAGAAAAGCCGGAAAAGAAGAGATGTGGATTTCCAGAAGGCGATTCTTCAGAAGAGTGAGTGATGAGACTAGTGCCAGAACCTCAGCTGTATCTGGTGGTGGGGGGCCATTCCTAGTGACCCTCTTCCACTGCCCACAGTGAGTCAATACGTTGGCCAAGCCAAGCGCTGCTGCAAGGATGGGATGACACCGTTGCCGATGCGCCGGTCCTGCAAAGAGCGAGTGGCTAGAGTATCAGAACCCACCTGCCACGAGGCCTTCCTGTCCTGCTGCCAGTTTGCTGAGGAGCTTCGTAAAAAGACACGCATCAGGGGCAGCATGGGACTTGCCAGAGGTAACAGTGATGAGCAATGGTTATGACCTGGGTCTCTAAGGTCAAGGGTAGGTGGGAATGCTGGTGGTGCCCAGGGCCCTGATCCTTCTCACTCATCTCAGCCCAGGACATGTGGGAAGAGGAAGAGGAACTGCTTGTTGAAGATGATATCCTCGTCCGGAGCTATTTCCCTGAGAACTGGCTCTGGACCCTGTGCACAGTAGACAAAGTTAAAAAGTAAGGAGGCCAAGGAGACATTCCAGATGCCACCCCCAAAACTGCCACACTCCTTGGGGACCCCAGCATCCAGCTCCCAGGTTTGATAGACGTTCTTTTTGCTCCTCCAACACAGGGTGTCTGAGCTTGTCCCTGATTCCCTGACCACGTGGGAGATCCACGCTGTGAGCCTTTCCCAGACAAAAGGTGACAACAATACCACTGCATGGCCTTTCCTCTTTGCCCTCTCCCCTCTTAATGTCATCTTAACAGGGAGTCTCCTGTCCCTTAGGGTATCCTAGTTAGCTTGTGGTTTCCCAAGGAGTAGCTTCCAGGAAGGGAGGGGAAATTCTGCTCATTGGTCTTGAAGCCCTGAGGCTACCCTGGAGAGTGAGCAGAGTCAAGGCCTCAGGGGCCTCCTGGGCACCTCAGTTAGTTGTGGTGGGATGGCTTATGTCCCTTTCTGTGCTTTTCCCAGCCTCTCCTGTGCTGTACCCTACCTCAAAACTATTCGTTT